TTTTTTTTAAAGAGAGACAGGGTCTCACTATGTTTCCCAGGCTAGTCTCACAAACTCCTGGTCTCACGTGATCCTCTTGCCTCAGTAAAGTTTTCTCAACCATTAATACAGCATTCTTTCTGCAGCCCGTGGATAAAGGAGTAATTTTGACTTTCAGTTCTTACTTAAGTATCTTTCATTAGTCTATAGCTGCCATAGATAGTTACTCCTGTGATAGATCTGAGCAACATTAATTGAAAATCTTCTGCAAATAATTCACCTTTCCAGATGCCATTAAGAATATTTGTGATTCATGAGAAGTCAAAATGGCACCACCATTAACAGGAGTTTGGAAGAAGTTGATTTTAATGCTCATGGATGACTTTGAGGGGTTTAGAACTTCAATGGAGGAAGGAACTGCAGGTGTGATAGAAATAGCAAAATAACTAGAATTAGAAGTGGAACCTAGAGATGTGGCTGAATTCCTGTCCATGACATAAAGGATCTACAAGTGCTCCTCCAGTGAATACACTAATGATAAGAAAGCAAAACAGGCCAATAGCAATGTCATGATAACCCTTGAACACATGAGAAGTTGCTTCTTACAGATGAGCAAAGAAAGTGGTTTTTTGAGATGGAGTCAACTCCTGCTGAAGATGCTATGAACACAGATAAAATGACAGCAAAAGATTTAGAATTTTATATACAATTAGTTGATGAAGCACTGGCAGATTGGAGAGGATTGACTTCAGGTTTGGAAATAGTTCTGTGGTTCAAATGCTATCAGACCGTACTGCCTGGTACAGAGAAATATTTTGTGAAAAGAAGTCAATCAGTGCAGCAAACTTCATGGTTGTCTTGTTTAAGAAATTGCTGACCAGGCGCAGTACCTCTCCCCTGTAATCCCAGCACTTTGGGAGGCCGAGGTGGGCGGACCTGAGGTTAGGAGATGGAGACCAGCCTAGCCAACATGGTGAAACCCCTGCTCTACTAAAAATACAAAAATTAGCCAGACGTGGTGGTGGTTGCCTGTAATCCCAGCTACTAGGGAGACTGAGGCAGGAGAGTTGCTTGAACCTGGGAGGCGGAGGCTACATTGAGCCAAGATTGTGCCACGGCACTCACAGCCTGGGCAATAGAGTGAGACTCCATCTCAAAAAGAAAAAGAAAAAAAAAAAAAGAGAGAGAAATCGTCATAGCCACCCTAACTTTTAGTAAGTCCTGACTTGATCAGGCAGCAACCATCAACACTGAGGCAAGACCCTCCACCAACACAAAGATGATA